TTTTTTTTTTTTTTTTTTTTTTTTTTGAGACGGAGTTTCGCTGTTGTTGCCCAGACTGGAGTGCAATGGCACGATCTCGGCTCACCGCAACCTCCGCCTCCTGGGTTCAAGCAATTCTCCTGCCTCAGCCTCCTGAGTAGCTGGGACTACAGGCACGCACCACCATGCCCAGCTAATTTTTGTATTTTTAGTAGAGACGGGGTTTCACCTTGTTGACCAGGATGGTCTCGATCTCTTGACCTCGTGATCCACCCGCCTCGGCCTCCCAAAGTGCTGGGATTACAGGCGTGAGCCACCGCGCCCGGCCACCACATTTTATTTATCCGTTCATGAGTTGATTACATATGAATTATTTACACTTTATCTATTCATGACTTGATAGACATACTGTTTTTTTCCACTGTGGCTATTAGGAATAATGCGATTATGAAGATGAAGTTGTTCAAAGTAATTGTAACACAAACTCATGTTTAAAATGCTTTTACCTGCCACCTAGTTTGCTGAGGAAATTGACAAGGTTTCTCCCTGTTTTTATGCTGTTGCTGTCCAGGAAGTTGCCTTGTATGTAGTAGGCTCTCAAATGTTTGTTGATTAAAGCATGGTTACATCTGTTTTTCTAATTGTGATTGATCTCCCTTTAAGTGCTTACTAAGTAACAACAACTGGATAGAACCATAGCCTTCAGAAGATTCCTGAAGTGAGGCAGCCAGTGGAGGGGCTGAAAGACATTTTCAATTCTGAGAAGCCAGAGGCATAAAAACAGACCAAGGGTTTAGTGTATTGGAGCTTTTTGCACACTGACACTCGTGTGGGCTCTGTAAGTTTGGGTGAAGGGTAGAGGAGTGGGTAATTTTATATGCTGATAATATTGTGATGTTGACAGATCTTTGATTACATTGCCATGGCATTTGTTGACACTGCCCTGTCCTAATCCTGCAAATGTAGTATCTGATAGGGAGTAACAAGTGTCATTTAAGAGACATTATTTTGCAGAATGTCACTTGATGCTATGGAGAAGGTTGAATCACGACTGCTATGTCATAGCCAGGAAATTGAGATCAGCTGATTTTACTTACTCAGATGAGAAGTAGTTAGCCCTAGGGAAACTAGAAATGGAAGTCTCTGTCTTTGACTCATTTTATTGGATTGGTGTTTGCCAAAGTTGGCCGGTCATCAGAATGTTGAAAAAGTCATTTTGAAAATACAAGATTCCTAAGCTTAAAGTCTAATTCTACTGATGCAGAATCTCTAATATGGTGTCAGGTTACTATGATTCTGTGTATGCTGCTGGTAATAATGTTGGGTTTTGCTGCCGGGAAAGCCTAAAAGGAGCCTTATATCTGACTGTGAGAGGAGTGGGGTTTGGGAGAATAAGCTAGGTTGTCTTCCATATCTAAAAAGGGAAGTAGATTGAGGATGTAACTTGTATAGCTGTCACTCATGCTAAAAGGCTGTGGGCGCCTTTTGTTTGGGTCATCAGAGTTAAACTTTTCAAGGATGTGACTAGAGTTTGAAGCATTTCCTTTTGCTGTGGAATAACTTTTCAAACTTCATCAAAGGCGGAGGAAGTCGGGGGAAGTCAAAGGAACAGCTGCTTAACATTGCCAGGCCCAGCTGGGTGAACTACACGTTGGGTGTTTTTGTTTTAAGGCATCACCTGAGCATCTAAGTCCCCATAGCCATTTGGGAGTGTCTTTAAAAATACTTCTCACTGAGTTCCAAATTTGGCAACCAAAAGATCTTAATTTAAATTTGGTCTGTAGCTTTATTTTCTTCTGATACCTTTGTGTTTGGTTTCGGTATCAGTGTAACACTGGCCTCATGACCTGGAATATTCCTTTCATATTTTGAAAGAGTTTGTAAAGGATTAGCTAATTCTTTAAACATTTGGTACAAGTCACCAGTGAAACCACATGGTTCGGAGTTCTGTGTGTGTGTGGGGGATTTTTTGTTTTGTTTTGAGCTGCAATACTGTTACAGGAAAGGGGTCCCGATCCAGACCCCAAGAGAGGGTTCTTGGATCTCACAGAAGAAGGAATTTAGGGTGAGTCCATAAAGTGGGAGCAAGCTTATTAAGAAAGTGAAGGAATAAAAGAATGGCTACTCCATAGACAGAGCAGCCCTGAGGGCCGCTGTTTGCCAATTTTTATGGTTATTGTCTGATGATATGCTAAACAGCGGTGAATTGTTCATGCCTCCCCTTTTTAGAGCATATAGGGTAACTTCCTGATGTTACCATGGCATTTGTAAACTGTCATGGCGCTGGCGGGAGTGTAGCGGTGAGGACGACCAGAGGTCACCAC